TGAAATTCATGGCCGACCTAGAAGCCCCGAAGCCGAACTTAAAAACAGCAAAAGCAGCCGCAGCACAACCTTCCACTGCCTTAGCTTTGAGACACTTTGAATTCCGCGGCTGGGGTTTAGGGTTCAAGGTGGGTCTTAAGGGGGATACGTACACGGCCTTGGAAGCCCCAACCCTGCTGTAGTCGTAATCGTAGTAATCATCGTCGTCCCTCATCGTAGTACGACTGCATTTCCTACTAATGCTGTTCAGGAAGGTGCAAGAGCACAACTTCCAGGGCCCAACCCCTGAAGCGCACGCCTACCATGGCCCAGTGGTCACCAAACAAAAGAAGCACCTTTTTCTCTGACGCGCCTTGCCAGACGTAGTCTGTGCTGGATGAAGAATATAATTAAGCCTTTCTCTGGGAATGCATGTGGATCGCTTGGGTGTGAAGGCCGCGATGAATCCAGGGGTGGTTCTGCGGGTCGCTTTTTAAGGGGCTCCTTTTCATAAGGGGTCCTGTTCTGTGTCATAGTTGGGTACCATTTTACATTTTTAAGGGTACTTAAACACCCATTTTTTATGATTATCCCAACCATGAACTAGTGTTCATGAGTAGCTCAGCACCCTTTAAACTACGAACCCCCATCTCGACTGCGGTTCGGCGGAAGTTGTGGCAGTTGGCCAAGAATTTGGGACCCAGGCAAAAGCCCCAAGCCCAAACCGGCTAAACCCCTAAACCCTAAACCCTAAACAGCCCTAAACTCGAACTCTAAACCCTAAACCCTCAACCGAACCTTCAAGAAGCGCTACGGAAAAAATCCGAGCCCCCAACAAGTCTTTATACTCCTAGACCTGCTCGACAGCAGGCCCCGGACTTTGCGGCGGCTTTGGCCCGTCTTGTCGATGCAGCGCAGGTCCTCCACAGGGCTGTAAACGGGAATTTTTTTGGCATGGAGGGAGTTCCTAGACCGTGTAGTTTCCGGACTTTAAGGACATCCTTTTCCATGCAAAAAGAGGGCTGGTCTCGAGCAGGCCCGCAAAGGGCTTCTTTTCGATTGCTTCGAGTGGTGGGTAATTACCCAAAGGAGCCTGGGCTCGGTGGGTTACCGACTTTTGATGTGTTCAACACAACATGAATGTGTGACGACGCGGGCCGAGGTCTCGGTGTGGAACGTTTACCAGGAACAGCACCAGTTGCTTTGACAACGACCACTGCATCCCACCCCCAGCAGGTCGTGGCCGCTGCCGCCTCTCAGCCGCCTCAGCGTCGGCCCGAGTTGCCCTTCAACATTACATGCATGGAGCATCAGCATCCCTGCGCACAGATGCTTTCCGCACCTGGGGCGTTCACAGAAAACACGCGGTAAGGCCAACAACAAGACGGGGGCTGGGTTTTTGGTAGAGGGCCTCGAAACACAGGAAAGCACAGGGGCCGCCTGATGAGGGGATCCCGGAATCCATGTGGGAACCTCTGATGCACAAGGCCACCGCCGAAGCGAGTGTCGAGAATTGGAGAGACGAGTTCTCTTCTCTTTCTGCAACCAAGATCACAAGAAGCAGTATAGAATCCCACCAAACACCTCCCAGCAACACAAACACTTGGAGGTTCATGGGTAGTTATATGTGGGCTTATATAGCAGTAGCATAACTATGCTTATGACTGGCTATAGCCTTATTTATGCTACTTCTACCCTGCTTTGAACTGCCCATGAACCTTCAAGCGCGTCCAAATCCTCCCCTAAACCCTAAACCCTAAACCCTAAACCCTAAACCCTAAACCCTAAACCCTAAACCCTAAACCCTAAACCCCCAAAAGGCGTGGAACCTGTGTGCCTCGCCTGGCTTGTCCGAGTGTGAGCGATTAAACCCCCAAAAGGCCGCCCGAGACGCCGGCTTCCCGGCGCAGCCGCAGCGCAGCCGGGCCTCGGCCGCCCCCGGACTCTGCCAGCCGCTACCAGGGCTGCAGTTGGGGTGGGGTTTAGGGTTTAGGGCTTTAGGGTTTAGGGTTTAGGTAGTTTCAGCAGTTAAGGGTTTTGAAGCTTTGTCGGGGGGGAGGGGGACAGGGTGAGGGGCTTTTGAGGGCCAGGGGCTCTTCAGGGTGCTCCTTTGTGGCGGCGTTGTCAGGGCAAGCTTCTTTGTGGGGCGGGGGCTCTTGCGGGTGGTCTTGCTTTTAATTGGGCGGGGCTTTGAGAGGGCTTTCATTCATTGCGTTTAAGGCATCTTTTTAAAGGAGGTTTTCGGAGGAAGCTCATGTCCAGTGCGCCTGTTCCGAGAGAAAGGGCTTAGCACTGCGACCTTCAGGGTGCAAGAACTTCCGCTGCTTGGAGCTCAGGACCGACGGCGCCCAGCCGCGGTGCAGGACACAAAGCTGCACACTTGCGCTAGGGGTTATGGCGGGGGCATGTACGTGCTTGTGATGGGAAAGGGGCACACGTATGAGCTGAAGGCAAATTATTGTTCAAGTGCCATCTGATAGAGCGGCTTGGGTGGTTGCAGGTTGAATTTCAGGCCTCGCGATTGATGTTGGATGGTTGGTTCAGGAACGGCCGTTTCGGACTCCTGTTCCGGTCAAAAACTGTAGTCACGACTAGGGTCTGAAGCGGAAACCCGCTGATGTCACACAGACTACATGTCGGCATTTCACGCTCATTGGCTACATGTTAGTGAGCAACATGACAGCTACCTACAGCTATATTATATGGCAAGTGGTTTGTTGCGCCAGCCCCTCTCGGCCGCTCAGCCTACTCGCGAGGTCGTAGCAGGGATCCTTCAATATTGTGTCCCTCAGAAGCCAACTCGGTCAGGGACAAGGCTGAGGGGCCTGCCCACAGGCGCACATGATCCCACAACACGGCGGAAGTTCATGGGAAACTGCAAGTGGTATGTATAAGTCGGGTAACTATCAGCATAACTGGTTGTAACCTTATTTAGGGTACGTATAACTTATAGCCCTACTTACAACTACCCATGAACCTTCAAGTAATTAGGGTCGAGAGGGTTTGGGGTGATACCTGCCAACCAGAGGAGCAACAGAGGCGGAACCACCAAAACGGCATGCCAGCGCGTGCTTCGGCATGGACTTGATGCGCGGTTGGAGATCAGATTGCTGCGTTGAGAGGGTTTCAGCTCAAGTGATCAGTGAGATTAAACAGATGAACCCCCTCAAGCAAAAAAACCCTGCTATCATGATCGCTGTCTCTCTATTTCTTTCTCCCGGTCCTCTCTCTCCTCTTCTCGCTCGCTCGCTCTCTCGCTCGCTCGCTCTCTCTCTCTCTCTCTCTCTCGCTCTCTCGCTCGCTCTCTCTCGCTCTCTCTCTCTCTCTCTCTCTCTCTCGCTCCCTCTCTCTCGCTCGCTCTCTCTCCCTCTCGCTCTCTCGCGCTCTCGATCGCTCTTCCATCCTGCGGACCCAGAGCCGACCCTAAACCCATTCAGAGCTCCCCAAGAAACCCCATGGCAACATCCCCTGAACCACTCCTAAACCCTGAACCCTAAACCCTAAACCCTCATGGAGCGCCCTTTTGCCCAGGTCTCCCGGCGTGGCTGCCCGCGGGGCGCGAGGGGCTGCGCCGGCGGCGCCCATGGCGGCGCCAATGGCGGCGCCCGCGGTCCTGGGCACGCTGGCTGCTTCAGGATTCGTATTAAGAGTAGTATAGATAGCAAAATATTATAAAAAACATATCAGTTTAACATAAATGATATAATCACCATATGGTCGTAAATTAAGCCTATCCTGTTTTTTCGTGCCGTTGCGTAGCGGGGCGCACGGCAGAGAGAGAGAGAGAGCGCGAGAAAACAAAAAAACACTTTCTTCGTATACTCCTAGCAATTGAAAGAAAACATATGTCTATATGTATATATGTGCGAGTACAATCACTGAATAGTACTAGAGCATATAGTAGTATAAGGTTTAGCGGTCAGTGTGGAGCTCGAGGGTTCTCGGGCCTCTAGCTTTGGGAAGTTGAGTTTGGATTTGGAAAACTGCGCCTGCTGAGGTGGTTTACAATGTTGCATGGTTGAGGGTTTTAGGGGTCAGGGTTGAGGGATAGGGTTCATGGGCTTTTGCAGCTGTGGCAAAGCATGCGTGTGCAATGTCGTAGAACAAGCAGGCAGCCATACAAATCAGTTTCCGAGCTCATGGATGGCCAGTAAAGCAGCTCCTGCATCCCTCACTCCACCTGAAGGCAAGTTTGCCGACTTCGAGCGGGTGGTGCTGCTCCCGTCGGCTGCGACACACTGGTCGCAGCAAGCGCTTCCCCCTTCGGAGGAGCAGGACGAAGTGGCCAGCCGATTGGAACTTTCAAGTTTCCGCCCCCGCCCTCTCCCCTCCATTCCCCTCCCCTATTCTCAGAGTTGTCCAGAAGACGGGGCATTTTGACTGGATCCCGGGGAAACGATAATCTGCAAGAATGGTCGGCATACTGCCAACGAAGTTACCCGGGCTGGTGCAGCACATGCCTTGGGATGTCCCCGCCTATACTTAGAGTTCTTTTTAGGGATTATAATGGAGGTACGATAATCCCGATGAAAGATTACAATGGGGTGTACTACAATCCCTATTAAGGGCTGTTAGTACAAGGGTGAACATCCCAGCACATGCATTTAGCCGCCCTAAACCCTAAACCCTACACCCTACACCCCACACTCGGGTGGTCTTGGAGGTTTGTTTCTGCGGGGTTCTCTAGAGGGGTGAAGCCGAGCTGGAAGAGCAGCGGTTTAGGGTTTAGCGTTTAGGGTTTAGGGTTTCGGGTCTAGGGTCTAGGGTTTAGGGTTTAGGGTTTAGATGAAAGCGGCCTGGAAGACTTGTAGTGAATTTCCGTTCCATGGCTGACATCTTCGGCCGGAATTCTGGAGTCACTACAATAAAAATAACAAAGACATACAACTTCAGCAAATATCGTCTAGCAGGTAGCAGATACCATACCAACGGTCCTTAATAGGGGTTTTAGTCCAGTCCCTAATAAGGACTGTTAGTATAAGGGGGAACATCCCAATACTCCTTTTATTATGCTGTGAGCAATGGCTGCCACTGTTCTGCGCCACTCGCCTCGTGCCCGGCCGCCCGAGCTGCAGCTTCTTCAGCGAGCTTCCAGCCTGCACAGACAGAGAAAAAGAATGAAAGAAAGAAAGCACGAAAAGGAAAGCCACGGAGAAAGAACAAATGACTGAAAGAGAAACAGAAACAAAAAATAAATAAAGAAAGAAATAAGGAAAGAATTAATAAAGAAGTTAAAGAGGTAAAGAAAGAACGTTTGAGCCTGGGCGTTGACAGCGCTGCGCTTTCGAAGGGCTAAGTAATGCAGTAGAAGCCCAGCCGTCGTCGCAGACCACTGAACGCGCCCCACCCGCCCCCCCCCCTCTTCCCCGCCGGAGGGGACGAAGGGGGGGGGGGGGGGGGGGAGAAGAGAGACAGAGAGAGAGAGCACTAACATCTGTTGGATCTAGGGTTTAGGTTCATAGGGTTTAGGCTTTACATGGCCATGGTGCCTGACATTGTTGGGTATGGAGGATTTGGACAGGCGTAAAAAGAGTCTGGGGTTGCAAGGAAGGGAAGCAACGGCTCCAAACGAAGTCCAACTTGTTGCATTTTCTTAGGGCCTTCATTTGTTGAAGCATGGCTGCTGAGCTTGTGCAGGTCAATCTTCAATCAAAGTCTGTCACTCGCAGTTCGAGCACCCCATCCGAGTCGGGGCGCAACGAGGCTTCTGGAATTTAAGCCCACCGTCTCCAGGTTCTCAGCGATGCCTGCCAGGGGCATGCTGCATGGCCGGCTGACCCGGCCGACCTGGCATCGCAGATCGCCCGGAGAATCGGGAAGGATCGGGCGCACTATAGGGGTCGGAATATTTACTAGTACTATCCCCTTTAATAGCCCCAAAACCCTATTCCAACTATTCAGGCCCCTACATTAGACCCGGAAATCACTTGAAGGGTGTTTTTAGGAGTCCCCGGGTGATACGTCACAGCAGGGACGGGTTGAAAAGGTACACCAAGTAAGGGGTGGCGGGGTAAGCAAAGGGTTTTGGTTTTGGACCTTCAGGGCTGACGTGCGAGATGTCTTCTGGTGCAGGAACGGCCGGACCTTTTCATTGTGGTCCTCCCTGGGCCTTTCATGAGCGATTCGCAGGACCTCTCGCAATTAGTTTAAGGCAGTGTTTGGCATATGTGAGGTGCCCACCTCGGATCACCTAACTCCAGCCTGTGTAGGCCTCCCCACTTGGTGCCTGACTGCCTGACTCTGCAGTGAAGCCTCTACAGGTTTCAGCGGGACACAGCATAGCATGTCTGATTGGAAGGAGTCGCAGTCGTCCATAGCTGCAACGCCAACAAATCAACGAGGTTTTGGGGGCCTTCGATCCGTCTCGAACAAATCGTGTGTAGCATCGCTTGTAGTGGGCTAGGAAGTTAAGATCCAGTAGGACCCAATGTGCCACAGAAAGGACATGTTTGGCGAGGGCTTCGACATTTTTTCAGAGATTCAGGTGACTCGCACTCTGAGCGGCGCTTCTTTGATGTTACGCGACCACAGATCGTTTCTGGCCAGCGAGGAACTCACACTGTTGCTGGTTGTTAGTATGGGATCCTAGCGAAGCGTAGCTTTCAGGCATTCTCATTTGGGATGTTCCCCCTTATGCTCACAGTCCTTAATAAGGATTAAACATAGTACCCTATTGTCATCCCCATTAAGGACTGCTAGTATCGCGGGGAACGTCCCAAATTCTAATCAATCGAAGGGTTGAGGTTGGGAAACTGGCTAAGTTCTCAAGGCTGAGGTTGAGGAGTTTGTGCCCTTGTTTGCATGTGTTCCCTCAGCTGCTGTTGCCTTGCACAGTTGTGCGACGCAAGACGGGGCCTCTTCATGACTCTTCATTCCTAGGTTGCCGGGGGCTTCAGGGTCGAGGCATCGAGGGTGTAGGTAGGGTTTAAGGTTTGTAGGGTTCCGGGTGGCTTCATGGGGGTTTCCGAAGTTAAGGGTACTTATTGGGGTCCTTATTGTAGGGGAATCCTACTCTTTGGGTGAGGTGCATCCACAGCTCATTGCCAGCGTTCTGGCGAGGACCAACGCGCCAAACCCGTGCCCTGAACCCTAAACCCTAAACCCGAAATCCTAAACCCGTGCCCTGAACCCTAAACCTGAAACCCGAAACCCTAAGCCCTAGACCCTGTTCGCTGCGGAGTGATCCCATTGGGGGTCTGCTAGGCGGGTGGCAAAAAGAAAACCCTAAACCCTAAACCCAAAGCATGAACCGCATCAGAGCGGCATGGCACCGAAGAGAGTCGGAGCCCTCAATCCTTAAACCCCAGAAGACATAATATGTAATACGTAATATCATTTAAATATTAAATCCATTATATATCCCATGACATACATACATTTCTTACATTATATGTATGTATGTATGTATGTATGTATGTATGTATGTATGTATGTATGTATGTATGTATGTATGTATGTATGTATGTATGTATGTGTGTATGTAAATATATATATACTATCTTGCATAGCATATAGTATATACACTGTGCTATCTATATACTTGCAAATTTACAGATACATATTCTTGCATCATATGTATGATATGTGAGCCCTCAACCCTAAGAGGAGCCCGAGGTCGGGCCCCCCGGAGCCCCCGAAACACGGCGGCACCGGCGCCGTGCCCGCAGCCACTGCCGAGGCCGGAGCTTTCGTTAGAGCTTTCGGGTTTGGGGTTTAGGGTTTGGGGTTTGGGGTTTGGGGTTTGGGGTTTAGGGGTTTAGGGGTTTAGGGGTTTAGGGGTTTAGGGGTTTAGGGTTTAGGTTTGGGGTGTAGGGATTTGGAGTCCAGTTGCAAAAGGGGTTTGGAGTTTTGGGGTTTAGGGTTAGGGCCATATGGGGGTTAGGGTTTGGGGTATAGGGCTTGGGTTTTGGGGTTTAGGGTTTAGCAACTTAGGGTTTGGGGTTTGGGGGTTCAGGGGTTGAGGGCTTTAGGGGTTTGGGTTTTGGGGGCTTTCCGAGTGTTTCTTTGCGTTGTTTTTACATTCCTTGGCTAGGGCTTCCTAAATGTTGTCAGAGATTCTGTTGTTTGTGTCTGGCGGCTTAACCTTTCTGTCAGGGTTTGTCAAGGGATTAAGACTCGTACACCCCCCCCCCTAAGGTTGAACCCCAGAAGGTCCCCTTATTAGTATACTCTGAATACGGCCCTTGAGTTTCTCTTTTCGGAATCTTAAAACAGCATCCCCAAACCCAAGGGTACAGCCGTAGGGGTCCAAAGTAGAGTCCCTTGAGTTTATGTAGACCCTGAACCCCACAACTCAAATTGAACCAGGACGTAGGCTCTGGCAGCTTGTCAGCTTCATGGCCCAAAGCCAACACGTACCCAACCTTAAACAAAGGAGACCATGTGAAAACAGTCAAACAAAGAACTCAAAGAATATCGCAGATTGAAAGAGAGAGATATATATAGCGTCTATATATATATATATATGTATGTATATGTACACATATGTGTGTGTATGTGTATAGGTACAAACTCTTGACTTGTTTTGTGGACTAGCGTGGTTCTCCAATTAAGCCTGAATTCACAAGCCGTGACCCGAGAGCCAAACATGGTTCTCCAAAACCCGATCTTTTGGTTTAGGGCCAGCTTAGGGTTTAGGGCCGCAGGTGCTCCTTCAGACAGTGCCGGGCGGACACGCGGCCGAGATGCAGACGGCCGTGGCCGCTGCTCTGCAGGCCAGGTGTATATAAGGCCTTTGGAGATTTTGAGGGCAAACGCTTGTTACCTTTAATGAGGACCCCCCCCCACTTGCCCTAAATTGATTCTATCTATCTATATCTATATATATATGTATATATATATATATATAGAGGAGCCTTCATACGAAGAGCAGGATTTCCAACGTGAAAACAAAAGTTGAAGGGGGATGACAGTCAACAATCCAGTTTAGGGGGGCGGGGTTGGGAAGGGCTATACTATCGAAGAATCGCAGAACGTGCTTTATAGGAGCACCATGAATATGGTGCCTGTTCACCCAACCCCCCCCCGCAGGATTGGGGTTGGGGTTTAGGGTTTGAGGTTTTAGGTTTCAGGTTACGTGCAAGGAGATTTCCCCTGGCCCCTGTTCGAAATCTCCAGTTGAAATTTCCCCACCAGTCGCGGAGAGGGGTTCTCAGAGGATCTGCATGTGCAATAGTGTGATTTCCGGGATTGCAGATGTCTGGAAAACTTTCTCAGAGCATGTTCTATGTGGGGCACGGCCGATGGAGAATTTCAATCGTGACTGATTGACACTATGCCTCCCCTTTCTCCGAGTGTGAGCGATAAAAAACCCCTAACGCCCTAAACTCTAAAATCCCTGAACCCCAAACCCTCCTACGTTCCCTGCAGAGTGTCCGCAAGGTCAGCTAAGCGGGTGACCCTAAACCCCTAACCCCTAAACCCTAAACCCTAAACCCAAACCCTAAACCCCAAACCCTAAACCCTCCTACGTCTTTTGGTCTCGGAGGTGGAGGGGGACAGCACCTCCCGAGCCTCGGAGTTGCCTGGCACCGCAAGTGGGGTCCGGCTAGGGTTTAGGGTTTAGGGTTTAGGGTTTAGGGTTTAGGGTTCAGGGTTTAGGGTTTAGGGGTTTAGGGTTTAGGGTTTAGGGTTTAGGGTAGGGTTTAAGGAGTATCTATTGGGATGTCCCCCCCCCCCCCCCTTATACTAACAGTCCTTCATTGGGAATTACTGTCATCCCCATGAAGGACTGTTAGTTTAGGACATTTTAGGACTGTTAGTTTACTGGGGGAACATCCCAAAGTATTAATATGCAACCCTCACAACTCGAAAAACCCTAAACCCTGAACCCGGTGTTCTTGCAGAAAGTAAAAGCCCCGGCAGTGTTTGTGTGTTTCTTTGTTTGTTCGTTTGTTGTGTTTGTTGTTTGTTATTTCTTTATTTTGTGGGGGGCGGTGGGGCGGCACTGGGGGGACTGGGGGGGTGGTTTGGGGTTGAGGGGTTTGGTCGAGGCACGTAAGAGAGTCCTCTGGCAACAAGGGTTTAGGGTCTAAATGCCCAACAGTACCCTTATTCTCATGTTTGGGAGGTTTAGGGTCCCTCACAAACCCGTTGAAGCAAAAAAGGGCGCCCTTTTTTCTAAATCCGAGGTTTCTCTTACAACCCCTTGAAGCAAAAAAGGAATCCGAGCTTGCTGGGCAACCTAGCTTGAGGCTCCGGGTTTGAGCCTTCTTGGGGAACTCAGGGGGGAACTCAGGGGAAGCGTATGGGTTTCCTTAGCTTGGATGGTCCCACTTTTACCAACTGAACAGTCCTTAGTAGGGATTGTGGTACCACCTACTCTCATCGCTATCAAGGACTGTCAGCATGAGGGGGGACATCCCAATCCTTAGTTTTCGGGGTTCTAGGATGTTGATTCTCGTGAGACAGCGCCTGAGAGGTTTCAGGCTCAGACGCGGTTTCTATCTCGGAGCTTTTGACAACCGTAATGCGTAATAGGTTTAAGCTTCAGACCCGAAACCCTACACCCTGCACCCTAAACCCTAAACTCCAAAAAGTGCTGTAGGTGCTACTTTGCCTTGGCTCGACAGTTGAACTTCAAGGCTGGCCCAGGGATGCACAGAGGTAGCCTCCTCCCATGTTTATGGTTTTCGGAATTGTGTTCATTTTTGGGGGGACTTCTGTTTTCTATTAGTTTCTATTCTTATTTCCACCCTTTTGTAGGGAGGCCCCGACGAAAAAACCACCGAAGCCTCCACATTGCTTGGAATTCGAACCGTAAACAGACCCCCGAAGTTCCAAAGTGCTGCGCACCCAAAGCCATCTAAGTCTAAGCTCCATTACCCTTCATTAGCCCTCCTATAACTAGGTGGAACCCCTTCGAAACTTTAAAGCCGAAACCCCACCTGACGCCTGCTAGCTGCCCCTCTTCGTCCTCTGGCGCCACGCATCCACGCCGGCGAGCTCCTGCAATGCAGCCGGGGAGCGCCTCGCGCTACGTGCGGGGAAGCTGCCTGGCCTCCAAGTACCCTTCATGCCCTAAAGGCCCCAACAAGCAATCTTTGGAAGTTTAGTGCTCAGCTGGCGCTACTCATAGATAGAGTCCTTTGTCAGGGAGGCTGGCCCAAGGGGAAGATTCCCGAAGATTCCCTGGTTCCTCAGACCCCCTCCCTGAAGGACCTTCTAGAACAGCCTTTGGGTGAGCAGCAGGGGTGGATACAGACCTTCTAAAAAGGGCTTTCAGCAAGCAGTAGGGTCCATCGTCGAGGGCCTTAGAATGGAGGGACTGCAGCCTCACCATGCACGCATTGGTAGAGTTAGGTTGTTTGGGACACCCTTGTTTTGGTTTTATGTACTACACGTACATACTCACGCGCACAACAAATAAAGCATATTATTTATATTTATATGTATATTGATATTAGTACTTATTTGTGCTAGCACGTATAAATAACAGAAGGCAGTGTGTGTGTATGTACATGTTTATGTCGACGTGTATGTGCACGTGCATGTGTATGTCTACGTACATGTATATGTATATATTCAAGGTGAAGGTCGCCATTTGCCGGGTAGGTGTCCTTCAGTTCGGAGGGGGGGATAGGCATTCCGATACCCTCGCCGAAGCCAGCCGCTTGGTACTATGTAAAATATGGAACGAGGTAGGCCCTTGGAACAATTTGCATTTGACCCTAATGGGCTTTAAGAGGATCATCTTCAAGAATATTTTTCAGAGGGTTTTAGTAATTCAAAGCGCCATCCTAGGGAAGGATCAGAGCCCCACAGTTCTTTGCAATCCCAGGTCGGTGGTCGACATCTTCGTCTTCTCGGGTGAGCTGGGCCCAGCCGCGGGAGTCGAAGAGAGGTGGGGAGCTCCTCACATGAGGGTTCTGGACTTGGGCCCTATTAGGGTTTAGGGTTTAGGGTTAGGGTTTAGGGTTTAGGGTTTAGGGGCACAACCCACATGCGCTGTTTTTGGAACTTCTCAAAGATGGGCTCGTAGAGCCAGACCCTCGGCTGTGTGTCAGGCCGGCTCGGATGGTAATGAGATTGATTGGCCCAAAAGTACAACGCCGGCGGGCAACAAAAGCTTTTATCCGAGACCCTAGTCTCCCGAACCTCGGAGGCTTGTGCTGGCGCCCACAGGGGCCGGGAAGTCCACGTGGCGCACGCATGCGCCCGTGTTCTGCGGCTCGGACTGCTTGAGGGGTTCACGGGCACTTGCGAAGCGTAGTTAATTTAATGCACGTAAAACTCAACACATTCGCATTGCAGAGATTGTCCTTGGAAAAGCCCCCTACAGTGCGGCTCTTGGCGGGCGCCAGCCGCTAGTCCTGCCATAGGGTAGTTGCATGAGAAACTCCAGGCTCTGCTTTGCACGAGGCCCAGAAGGGGAGGTGATGGATGAGGTTACGTTCCACCCGGCCTATCACAGGCGGGGCAGTCGGGGAGGATGGGAGGTTTCAGTCCCTAAGCCCATTCAAAAGCCCTGCCAGCAACCCAAAAGCTGGACCCGCTCCCTTCTGATCTGTTTCAGGATAAATTTAAAGGATCCCTTGCAGACCACGCTGAAAGATTATTCCTGCAGCAGCTACATCGCAAAGGTGCGCAGCCCCTTTTCATGGATAAGCGCATTGCATGGCGAGTCTAAAGGAGTTGAGCAATAGCAGTTTCCTCCAGGACACATGTAGGTTAGGTCGTCACATGGTAAGTCGTGGCAGAAGGCACGACTGCAATGATGGATGGGGCTGTTTGGAGTGGGTTTGCTGCATCGTTTTTTTTTCCTTGGTAGTGAGCTCTTCTACCAGTTGCTTGGGCCTATGTTCTAGGTCTCTGTTTGGGAAGAGAACATCATTATCATCATTAAATAAAGCTGATGCCCGATGAGTCGTGCAATCGCATGAAAACTTTGCGGCGCAGCGTTTCATGTCTCAGACCCCCAGACCACATGCTCGACCCGCATCTACGTACACATGTAAGACCAAAGCCTAGCCATCGCGACAACAGTGCTGCGAGCTTTAAAGTTGCCTTTTTCATTAAGCAGATTGTGCAGCAGAGACAGCCAGCATCAGCTTCAGCGATGAAATCGCTGGAGGAGGCAGATGGTGGCGGCAAGTCGAAGGCACCGGCTGGGCAAGGTGAAGTTATAGCTGAAGATCTTGAGGGGTTTCAGAACTCTCTAGGTGTTGGGCATGGCATCCGGATTCAAACAAGGTGGGAGTGCCCTCCCCCCCCACCCCCCCCTCCCCCGCCCCCCAAGTTAGGGGGACCGCTTACGAACCCAACCTGGGGCGCGCCAGTACCTGTAAAGCTGTTTAGGATGTTGGGTTTAGGGTTTAAGGGTTCTTGCGAAAGGGGTTTCCGTCTAGAGAGGTCAGGGGGTCTATTGAGCAAGGTAGTCAGACCCAGTTAAGCCACATGGGCCAACATTACTTAAAGGACTGCTTATGTAGTGTCGTTTCAAAGGACTACTCAGGGATCTTCCTTCTGGTAGTTCATTTGGTCCTGAGACCAACATACTCTTACCCTCCCAACCCTGAACCGCAAGTCCTTGCAATCAGGGAACGGCGGCCCTAGTAAATATTAAACGGAATGCCTCACCTGCACCCCCCAACTACCCTTTAATAGGGGGACTCATATGCTCTGCTGTTCTGGTGCACCACAAACTTTGCATCCAAAACCGTCAAACGCGCGGACCTCCCCAGAGTCCAAGCCAAGCCGCAGCATGGTTTAGGGTTTAGTGTTTAGGATATCTGAATCAGAGTTAGAACCCCCAAATCCAACCCTGGACATTCTACCCCGATCCCTGAACTGAGATGCGACCTAAAACCCTGCAGACCTCGTGAACCCTCAAGTCAAGCACCACCACTCGCAAACTCCATAGAGGCCCCTAAACCCTAAACCCTAAACCCTAAACCCTAAACCCTAAACCCTATACCCTCAACCGGGTTAAAGAAGGCTTCAGACCCGAAGGGTTCAAGAGCAAGGCCTTTTAAAGAACGCCACCTGAGCCCTTTAGTTCCGGAACCCCCCCGACCCCCCCCCCCCCTGGGTTTAGGGTTGAGGGTTGAGGGTTTAGGGTTTAGGGTTTAGGGCTGGCCCCAAAAGAGACCCTCATGTGGAAGAAGCCCCCTGCTCTCAGGACCTCGAGCACTTTGAGAGGCCGCTGAAAAGCAGTTTGCAAGGGTCGGGGCTTAGTGCTGAGGATGCCAAGGGCTTTCAAAAATTAGGGTTTAGGGTTTAGGGTTTAGGGTTTAGGGTTTAGGGTTTAGGATACCTGAATCAGAGTTGTAATTTAGGTGTCTAAGATTCAGTGGCTCCTTGACCCTCCTGTTTCTCGGGCTGAAGATCGAGTAAAGGTCTCAAATTGTTGACGGGGACACACCCCAAACCCTTAACCCTTACGAGAAGTGTACGTTAAGTTACTTACCCTTAAACCCTAAACCCTAGACCCTACACCCTAAACCCTAAACCCCAAACCCTAAACCCTAAACCCTAAACCCTAAACCCTAAACCCCTAAACCCCTAAACCCCTAAACCCCTAACCCCTAAACCCCTAAACCCCTAAACCCTAAAGAAGTTGCAAAAAAGACCGGAGGTCGCTGAAAGGCCTCTTGCGGCACCACGAGGAGTCAGTCGAGCTCGTGACCGACTTGCTGAGCCAGTTGCCGCAGGAGCTGGGGTTTAGGGTTTAGGGTTTAGGGTTTAGGGTTTAGGGTTTAGGGTTTGGGGTTTGGGGTTTGGGGTTTGGGGTTTGGGGTTTGGGGTTTGGGGTGGCGAGGGCATTGGCGATGTCATGTGCCTTTGTCTCGCGAAGTCTGAGAGAGAGGTTATACAAAGCAGTTGGCTTCAAACGACCCGGCCGTTCCATACAACCCCAATTAAGCAGCATCTTTGTTTATCGAACGCTACGAGTGAGCGAACAAACGCCAGATGCTCCTTGTTGTGTTTCCTTGTCAGATTTCTTTGTTCTGGTGCTGTGGCAGCACTGGCGTCTGCTGTGATAGTAGGGGCCCTTGCGTGCGGGCACTGCGAATGGATACGATAAAAAGGTTGCAAGAACGGGGCTGCCACGAGACTCCTAAGCCACAAGAAATTCGCCCGTGTCAGAATGACCGGTGTTGTGGGATTCGGTCCTGATTTTCTGGTTTTCAGGACCTTTTCCCGCCCTCGTGACCCTAAAAACCCTAAACCCTCTGAGAGTGGGCCTCCAGGCGATTTCGTCGGGTTCGATCCCGCGGCCTCCCTCGCCTTCTTCACGGCCGACTTCGCCTTCTTCGCGTGCTTCACACCGGCCCTCGATGTTTTCATCACAGGGGCATGCCTTTCAAGCTCCCGAGGCTTGCCTCACAACACTGGGTACCTAAACTCTGACCCGAGAACCCTCCTTGGGATGTTCCCCGTTATACGAACAGTCCTCAATAGGGATTATAGCACTCCCTATTACCCATCCCTATTCAGGACTGTTAGTATAAGGGGGAACATCCCAACCTAAACCCATAAGTAGACGGTTGAGATAACCAGACCGGACCCAGATCCTCTACTCGTCGCGTGGCGAGTGATGCGAGAGTCCAAGCCCTTACGGCACCGTAGGTCTGGCCGGACCTTAGGGGTTATTTAGGGGTTATGTGGGGCACACCATGTTCCAGAAGATCCGAGGACGGCCTCCAGGCGACTCCAACGAGTTCGCCCCCACGGCCTCCCTCGCCTCCTTCGCGTCCACCACGGCCATCTGTGTTTTCATCACAGTTGCAAGTTCCCGACGCTTGCCTCGCAACACCTAAACCCAAACCCGAGGCCCTAGAACCTAGACCCTACACCCTTATGCCCTCGCTGCGTTGACCCGCACCCATGGCCTCCAGAAGATCCTAGGACGGCACCGTCGTTGAAGAGGGCGACCCGGATGATGACCACCGGAAGCTCCATGAATCGCTTCATGAGTTGACGCAACAGATGGTCCGTGACAGCTCCATGCTCATCTTCCGGCAACATGATGGGGTGACTTGCGCTTGTTCATGGGGAGGGTGGGAGTGGGAAGGTGGAGAACAGTTCAACAAGAATTCTAACTCAGTGAAACTCTGCGGGGCCTCCGAGGAAATTTTGAAGGCTTGGCACCAATCGAAGACCTGGGAAGACGGCGTCACCTCCGGCATTGCCTCAAGTCTGAGCGCAGCCGCCCACTTCAGCCGAAAGGATGCGCAGAACTGCGCGGATCATGTGGTTGCAAGTCCCTGGTTCGAGCATCTACTGGGCATCCTCATCCTGCTGCACACTGCATGTGGGGAGGGAAAAGGGTGGGGGAGTATAGTTCCTCGAATTTAACAAAAAAAGACATCCCATGATACTGGCAGAAGGTGCCTACATTATGGGAACCAGGGTTTCCTTTTTTTAACCCGAAGTGGGGGGCGTTTCGGTAACACCTGAGGTTGACCCTTGTCTCAACCAGATGCTAACGTGCTAGCAAAAGGCAAAGCCCAGCAGGCAAACATCTAGAGACTACGACATGACCCCCAAATTGCAGAGTGTGCAGGTACAACGAACTGAATGGTTTGCCATAGAATACCCGGACGCCCAGCAGTACCTTTTCAAAGGTTGGGTACCCGTATGAGCCCCCGTATGAACTCCATCATAGCATGAATTCCATCACTGAGGGGCAGCAAGACCCGACAAGCTGTACAAACCCCGTTCAACAACATGGGCACCTAGGCACGCCTAGAAACAGTGGGGCACAATACAGTACCCTGGAGGCATTGGTATCGACCTCCAGCTCACTCTGGACGGTAGTGAGTCCTCCACTTTCATCACCGTGTCAGAAATCATCTTCCTGGTTTGCTACACGGTGGAGTTTGCGCTGCGGGTGGTGTCAATGGGCTGCCGGGGTTACTTTTGCGACTCATGGTGCCTTCTGGACTTCGTCCTCCTGATCTGCGGGGCTTCAGGAGTATAGAACGACAGCATCTGCCAGCCCCTAGATTCCCTAGATCTTCCCGAAACCTACCCACCCTAAACCGCTCTTGGCCCCCTAAACCCTAAATCCGAAACCCTAAACCCTAAACCCGCCCCTGGTGCCCCCCAAAGCGCCACCCCCCTGTTCATCTCACACGTCTTCCAGGAGTCGTGGCATCGACAATTCTTCAAGGTGATGGTGGCCCAGGATACCTCCATTCCCTCATGGCACCTCGAGCTTTAGGGCTTAGGGTTTTAGGGTTTAGGGTTTAGGGTACCTAAAAAAAGGGTTTAGGTACCTCCATTCCCTCATGGCACCTGCAGCTTCAGTTCAGGATCTATGGGTTTAGGGATGTTCCCCCTTTTTCTAGCAGTCCTTAATAAGGATTATAGTACCCCGATTATATTCAACCAAGGACTGTTAGTATAAGGTGGAACATCCCAATCTATGGGTTTAAGGGTTTAGCGCGCTTTGGAAGTAGCACGAAGGCTTGTTCATTAGGGAGGGCTCTTTGGGGTTCAGCGTCCTGAGTCAAACATCTCTTCTCTCGGGAGAAGAGGTCGAAGAGTTTCTACGTGCTTTTTCTAAGTTTAGTGCATGGGCGCTGCACAGCCGGACTTGGGGGGGGGGGGGGGGGGCATCTCACATAATACTAATGCTCCGATATAGTAGCACGAAATAATACACATCTGTATATGTACATGTTTCTTATAGCAGAATTCAATAGAAGAACATGATAGAACACTATACCAATTTCATACGCGTAGGCTCCTCGAGGTGATACGGTCTCTTCGTTTGCTGCGCCTGGTTCGGGCCATGAGAGCTCTTACCTACTTCCGTGCTGTGTGGCGTTTGGTCCATGGGCTCCTCACTTCGTGGAGGACGACTTGGTTGTAGAGTAGGTGACTTTTACCCCTTTTGGGGTAATAGAATCCCCTTATATCCCGAGAAGGTTAGCCTTTAGTACTGGACAACTAGGACGATGGTTCTTGCCCTTGCCCTCATCATGCTGAGTCTGTACATCGCGGCCTGCGTTGGGATCGAGATCATCGCAAAGGATGTGGACTTGCAGACCAATCCAGAGACCGCCCCCATTGTGGACGCATACTTCAGCAGCTTGGGAATGATTGTGCTGACGCTCGTGCAGTTTATTACGATGGATGGCACGGCGGAGTTGTATTCCCCACTCATCAAGATCAAGCCGCTGCTTGTCTTCTACTTCGCAGCCATCATACTCTTCGTATCGATCGCTCTGATGAACCTGGTGACGGCCACACTTATCGAGGGGGCAATGAGCAATGCGAGAGCAGACAAGGATCTTGACAGAGTTGACAGGCGCGTCCTCGTATGCAATATCCTGCGATACCATACCCTGCACCAGTATATTTCATGATATGGGACAGTACATCAGAATATAGTATGATACGTCATGAACACGACTGCGGTAGTCAGCTCACCATTCTGACGTGATACTTTGTTGATGGGTCTGGCGGCCATTTGTGTAAGGGGGAGGTGAGGCCGGTGGCTGGAACTTGCATGAATGCCATGGAGCGCAGTTGCGCCCCTCCCCTCGATGAACGTAATTACGGTCGAAACGAACATGGTACTTTCGTAATGCAGCATTGACAGGAACGTTCTTCTGGGCAAAGCTGTCTCGGATCTTATCAACCTCTTCGCGGAGATGGATACCGACGCTGATGGCAAGGCAGTGGGCATCAAAAACCGGCGTTCTTAAGCAGAGGGAGATGGCCTGCATCTGGCCTCCTCGAACTTAAGCGGCACCCGTTGCTCGAGTGGCTTTCTGTTGCAAGGATGCGCAAGGGGTATCTTAACACGACCCTTCGCACTGAAACCCCCACACCCTCCAAAAACAATTAACCCCCCCCCCCCCCCACACCCCAAATCAGTCTAAACCCTGAAACGCTCCCCCCCAATCCTAAAAATCCCAGAACCCACAGCTTCCTGACATGGGATTTCCGAAAGTAGGGGTACCCCTTATATATGCCCCAAAATAGAATTCTTTGACATGACGAGGTCACTTTGGAGGAGATGGAGCGGGTGCCGCCTGACCTGCTCCCTGCCGAGATCTTCAATGCCGAAGTGGCCGTCTCCGTCCACGAGGTCTTTGCGGGTGTCAGATTGGGTTTTGGGTTTAGGGTTTAGGGTTTAGGGTTTAGGGGTTGTCCTTGTACTAACAGCTAGCAGCTCCTTTATGGGGATTACACTGTAATAGGGGGTGCTATAATCCTTATTAAGGACTGTCAGTATCAGGGGGGACATCCCAAGTGTCAGATCAAAAGAGTTGTTTATCTTTCGAGAGGAGCTGCTAGGATCTCATCACCAACAGGGTACCTTGCTAGTGTTCTCTTCTTTGCGTGGGATTTAGGGTTCCGTGGTGCCCCAAACTTCAGGGAACATGGGCCAACAACCGCCCTGCACCTAGTATATGGGCCCTAATAATTAGAATATGGTTTTTGGGGTCATTATAGTGTAATGATAAAAGGACCATAAGAGAATACGTAGTTTTTCCGACCCCTATACGGGCCAGCATAGGCGCACCCCCCCCCCTCCCCCCCCATGGTATCCCCCCCCCCCCCCCGTGGTTCATGATCTGTGGTTCATGGGTTTAGGGTTTAAGGGTTTAGGTTTAGGGTTAGGCTGTAGGGTTCAGGATTTTCACTCTGGTCCATTGGTTCACAGTGGGTTTAAAGTTTGATTAGGGTTCAAGGTTTGGGGTAATGATAGGTTTACGGTTTCCCTCTCCCCCCTGTGGTTCGTGCTGGGTTTACGGTTGAGGGTTCAGGGTTAAAGCCGCAAAGGTTTCGGGTTTACCCTTCTCCCTCCCGTCGTTCATTGGTGGGTTTAAGTTTTAGGGCTTAGGGTTCATGGTTTGGGGTTTAGTCTGAGGCTTTTCTGTCCCGCCCCCCCCCCCCCCCCGGGGGCCCGGGGGGTTTTTTGGGTTAGCAGACAGGGGTTTGAGGGGGTTGCCATGGGGGGGGGGGTTACCATTGAAGGGGGGGGGGGGGGTCGATTACGCGGAACGCGGGCGCATATACAATGTTCAAGTTCAAACCAGTCAGTTCAGCCAGGTGGAAGGCAAGAGGAAAGAAAGAACCCTAAACCCTAAACGGACCGAATCCTTGCCTGCCTTGTGCGAGTGTGAGAGCCGAAACCCTAAACGGCCCTGAACCCTATAAACCCTAGGCCCTAGCCCCCTCACCCCCCAAGCCCCGCCCATGAGAGGTGTTTGCAGCCCTGGACGTGGACGACCTCGGTTGGGTGGACCTCAAATCCTTCGTGAAAGGCCTCCTTGCAGTGCACCTTGGTAATTTTTTTTTTGGGGGGGGGGGGGGGGGCTGTATTTGTGGGGGGGGGGGGGGGGGGGGGGGGGGGGGGCGGGGGTGTTTGGGGGTTTTGGGAGCTGTTTGGGGTTTTGGGGGAGTAGAGCTAGGGGCTTTTAGGTTGGGGGTTTTTCTTCGGCCTTCTGGGAGCCGAGCTGTGCCGGGCGGGATGGGCAAGCCTGTGCAGAGGGAACAGGCTCCAAACCCGCAGCTTTGTCAAGATAAACATGTGCACACGGTCTTGCAGCAGGCACTTCGTTTTGTATTACAGAGTTGGGGTATTTGTAGGGGGGAGAAGAGAAGTCTCAGAAGCCTAAGATCTGCAGACGGCCAAGTATCCCTTGAATCACTTCGAACCCCGTTCTTGTAGATTTTGGGTCTCTCCCCAAATCCCGAAATCGGGGGCACCCTCAGAGATGTCAGGGTGCCCCAAGTTGAATTGTCACAACCACCGCCTCCCGGAGTAACGAATAGTATTCCCTTCTAGTCCCTTTATACTTACACTATGGTCACCCGCCCCCCCCCCCCCCCCCCATCTAGAGTTGAGCCAGGTACCTCCAGCACATGACCGTGGCGGAGCTGGAGATCTTGAAGGTGTTGAAGAAGCTCAGGCCGCTTCCGGAAAGGGTGGAAGCGGTGGAGAGGTTGGTCGCCGAATCGACGAATGCGCTGATCACCGTGCCGGTGTGAGGAATTCTGCACGCACCCCTCGTTCTTCTCTCTGCAAAGTGCAGCCTTGCAAAAACATCCCCATGGCAAAGGGCCCTGGGAGGCCCTTAAAATCTAACTCCTGAAAAAGAAACCCAAGCTGCAAACCTCCACCCCGAGAGGGCCATAATTAAGTCTCCAATCCCTCACTGACAGCGGCCAAAGGCCCTTGTCAACATACTTCTCCGAGCTTGCGTATCGCTGATCGGTGATCACCCCTCATGCAGTTTAGGACTTGTGGGTTGAAAGAGGGTGTTGGTGAAGCAGGAGTTCTGCTGCAAAAAAGGGGATGCTTCACCTGCCTGTAAACTTTCTTTTGAGCTCGGTCGAGCCTTTGATCTTTGAAGTTTTGAGGAGGCAGTGCAGTAATGGCACCGCCGCTTGGCCTTTGTACTTTCGAGGCAGCGCAGTACTCGCACCGCCTCTCAAGGCCATTGAGTCACACATCTTCCGCATCTTTGGTGGGAGTGGCCAAAGAGTGTGCGTGGTTAAGCTAACCCTGAACCCTAAACCCTAAACCCTCTTTAAGGAGGGTCGACATCAGAGCTGTGTTAGGGCAGCTGCAGCCTGCCATGAGGCTGAACGGTACTCCAGCATGAAGATCTCACCTCACCGGGCACGATGTATCCAGCAGCCCCCAAAGGCCGGCACCAAGTGCCCTGGGCATGTGAACCTCTCTTTCTAAGCTCCACATCCTAAGTAAGTAAGCCTTGAAACATCCAAACGGCTAAGTTCCTGCAAATCCCCTCCTGCCGCCTGTGGCAGGACATGGAAAAATGTATGTATACACACATATAGACATATATATATATATAATGCACACCAAGAAAGCTGTGCTCCATGCTCGCATCCCCTTCGCATGGTGTAGTTTAGTGTAGTATGCCATGTGCTGTCGCTGACCAGGCGCATCCGCTTGAAGCCAGGAGGTTGGCTAAGCACCGAGGACGCCTGTAAAGCCCTTCTAGAAGTACTTGGCTTCGGGTTGTAGTGTCTAACCCTCCCAGACTTCTTTCGGGAGCTGTGCGCACAGCAAGTCCGTGCGATCCATGTCTAGCCTCATGCAGCCGTGCCGGCAGAATCTCGCGTCGCGAAGCTTCCAAAAGCTTTGCATGGAAGGAGCCCGCACCCTCGGTGTTTCTGCGGGACCTGAGCCTCCTTCGCCGGTGGCTCAGCGTCGACCGCCGGCGCCGGGTCACATTCAACTGTGCTGGGGAGGCCCCAGATTTGTAGACCCCCTTGGTGGTGCCCTTATTCCCTAGCCCTTTGGAGGGTTAGGACTTAGGATGGTTAGGAAGCCATCTCACGCCTATGAAGCAAAGCAAAGCTGCACTTTTGGTTTCTCCGGGTTGCGGGAAAAACCTAGCTATATAGCTGTTGCTGAGAGTACTTGCGGAAACCCTAAACCCTTAACCCTAAACCCTAAACCCTGCAGTGTGGTTGCCAGGCTGCTAGGCAGGTGACAAAACCCTAACCCCTAAACTTCCTAAACCCTCCAAAACAAGGGGGCAGGACAGACAGGGCGTAACCACCGTCTTCGCAGAACCCCTCTCTTTTCCGAAATGAACAGCGAGAGTGTTCCCTGCAGTGCGATGTTACCATCAGCTAGGGTTTGGTTTAGGGTTTAATTAGGGTTTAGGGTTTAGGGTTTAGGGTTTAGGGTTATCCAGTTGCATTAGGGTTTAGGGCTTAGGGCTTAGGGCTTAGGAAACCCTATATAAACCCCCCCAAGCAGGTGCTGGAGGAGGCCTGCAGGCTTTCTCTCCTGCAGCCTGCGGAGGTTTGCATCGTGCTGCCTCCGGAGGCGTTTTTTTTTCCGGGGGGTTGGGGAAGGGCTGCCGCCTTCCGGGGTCTAGAGGGTTTAGGGGGGGTTTAGGGGGGTTTAGGGGGGTTTTGGGGGGGGTTTTGGGGGGTTTAGGGGGCTTAGGGGGTATGGGGGTTTGAGGGTTTGAAGTGCAGATGGCTTTTTGAAGGTTTCGTGGTTGAAGGCCACTGCAATGGGAATTTCAACTGGCCAAGCAAATGGGGCGAGACTTGTCGAGCCTTCGCGTGGTTGCCACTTTGCTTCAGCCTCGGGGCTGGCGGGAGGGGTTGAGGGGAGTGCTGCAGAACTCCCGTCAAACCATGCTGGTTCATGAGGCCGCGCATCAGCGCTTCCTTTCCAAGAGAAAGGCGGCCGTGCTTGGAGACACGAGGCCAGCTTCGACATTTTCAGCACGTCCATGGCAAGAACAGTGCTGCTTGTGAGAACCAAGAGTGCAGCCGTACCTCCAGGAAAAAGGTGCGTTGAACCGCTTCAACTTGAGCGTCAGCACAGCACGGCCTACATTTCCCTGTGTGCAGCGTGTCTGGGGCTTTCTGCCGGCAATGCAAACTGCGCGCTTAAAAGATACCGATGGCGGTGTGCAATGCAGCGACGTGTGCGGCGCCGCATCATGCGAACATTCGGGATGCCCTTGAAGAACCCGAAGTTTGCTCAGCCCCAGCCCTAAACCCCTAAACACACTGCCAACCTCCAATCGAAGGCACCAGGTCAACCACCCCCTCTCCCCCCGCCATCCGAGAATATAGGAACGATGCAGAGAAGATGGGATCAGCATGGGCGCACTCACACACAGAATTTGAGAGGAGTATACGTATACGGGGTTCAAGGTCCCCTTATAAAGTAACCAACCCCAAAAAAGGGTGCCCTTATTAAGATATGGTTACTGGGCTACCAAGTTACCAAGCATACCATGTGCAACAGAGCATGTCCACCTCGCAGGGCCAAGAAGTTCAAGGCCGACCCTTCCCTGTCGCATTGGGACGAGGGTCCGCTGCGGAGCCTTTGTCACGGGAGGAGGGGTTTATGGGTTTAGGGTTTATAGGGTTCAGGGCGGGTTAGGGTCGGAAAGGCATGGCAATGTGAGAGCCGGGTTTTAGCGCGTAGTAGAAGGCGCGCGACGTCGAGCCCACACAGCGTTGTCCAGGCTCTCGCGATGGAGTAGCAGGGGCAGCCCCCCTAAACCCTCTACCCCAATTCTATTTGCGTCCAGGTGGTTGTTGGTGGACGGAGCGAGAGCAACCCCCCCATGCAAAGCCTAAAGCCTCCACCGGATTCACTTGGAAATTGCTAGATTCTAGTAGTAGTATAGTAGTAGTCGTAGTAGTGTAGTAGTCGTAGTAGTGGTAGAGTGGTAGAAGTGGCCGTCGTCGTCGTCGTAGTAGCAGCAGCAGTAGCAGATAATGGAGGTAACGTGGTCCCTTGACTAGTGCTTGCCAGCACCCAAAAAAATTGCAGCTATGAACCCTAAACCCTAAACCCTAAACCCTAGGCCCTAAACCCTAAACCCCAAATCCCAAACCCTAAACCCTAGACCCTGGACCCTAGACCCTTACGTGCTGTTCCCTGCGGAGTGATCCCAGAAAGGGTCTGCTAGGCGGGTGGCAAAAAACCCTAAACCCTAACCGCGTTCAGCTCCTCAGTCTTCTGGCCCGTCCCCCCTCCTTCAAACCCTGGTGTCATTTTCTCGGGACCGCTCCTTCAGTCATGCTAGGGTCTCAGGGGGTTTTGGGTTTAAGGGTTTAGGGTTTAGTCTCTTTGAAAATTGATTCCCTTGACCTTGCCCAAGAATCTGAGCTCAGGGCCTCAGCACTACCAGAAAGTTTATAGGGCTTCGGTTCGGCAGCTTCTTGGGCAAATAGGTTGGTTGGTTTGTCTGCGTGGACTGAGGTCTAAAGAGGCCGTAGAATGCAGCAGATTCAGTCCTCTCGCCGAACATTCCAGTGGCACAAAAGTGGTGGGGTTGAGGGTTTAGGGGTTCAGGGTATCGGGTTTGGGGATGATCAGCTCCTGCCGATTATGTTCGGACGTTGTGAGCAACTGGTGGGATTGCGCAAACCAGGATTCGACACTGCTTGCAGCAAGGAATCGAGAGACGCTGCGGGCTGCAGCTGCACAGTGTGGCATTCGCGCCTTTGCAGCATGCTGTGCTGTAGCCCATGCATTCCATGGTATCGGGCTGCAGCAAGGTACAAAGGATGGTTTGGATGTGCGCCTCTTGCGGAGACAGGGTAATACTACTTTTCATGCGGCTGCATGGGTGATTGCAGGTGCTGTATAAGAAGTTGCTGTCACCCTAAACCCTAAACCCTAAACCCTGATTTGCAGATGGAAGTCCTGCGGCAAGGTCCACAGCCAAAATGAGCGGCAGCTCCACCCACCACCAAAGCATCTGACCCTCTGAGGTTGGGATGTTCCCCCGTTTTACTACCAACAGTCCTTCTTTAATGGGGATTATTATAGGGGGTGCTATAATCCCCTAAAGGGACTGTTAGTACAAGGGGGCACATCTCAGCTCCGAGGTGTGTACTGCTCCTTTGCTGCGGCGGCCGGTGCTGCCGTCCACGTGTTCTGTACGCTCAGGCCAGGACTTAGGGTTTAGGGTTTAGGGTTTAGGGTTTAGGGTATAGGGTTTAGGGTTTAGGGTTTAGGGTTTACATGGGCCCCCGGCATCCCTGAGTACTGTACTTGGAGGTTTCATGGGTACCTTGCATCCCAATCAGAACTGTTCTTCTAAACCAAAATGTGGTTCTAACTGGGTGATAAGTACAGCTATTTATTAGCTTGCGAAGTACCCTCAACCCTATAAAGCCCCTAAAACCCTAACACCCTAAACCCCTAAACCCCTAAACCCCTAAACCCCAAACCCCTGGCCCTAAACCCAAAAAACCCTAAAACCCTAAAACCCTAAAACCCTAAACCCTAAACCCTAAACCCAAAAAAAGCCCTAGAACCCCCAAGTACGCACGCCACGACGCAGCAGGCACCAGGGCGGCCCCGAGGAGGCGTTCTTGGCAGAGCCTCCTTCGGCGGAGCCCTGGTCTCAGAGGGGGTTTCTAAGGTTTAGGGTTTAGGGTCTAGGGTTTGGGTTTAGGGTTTAGGGTTTAGGGTTTAGGGTTTCATTGGCCCTTAATACGGCCCCTTGCCGCCTTTGGAAGAATGGGCCCCCTAATTTGTGCAGGGAATATAAGGGGTCCCCGTTTAGGGGCCCATATTAGGGGACCCATGTAGCTGCCCTCAGAGACTTCGGCAAGCAGGTGGGATGGAGCGATGGGCCGCTCCCTCGGGGGCTTAAGGATTTAGGGTTTAGTGTTTAGGGTTTAGGGTTTCGGGTATCCTTCAGGCCCTGCACTTCCGGAACTTGGCAAAGCCAGGTCTTCCCAAGCACTCCTGAACCCAATGGCCTCGGTCCGGGACCTCCTCAACCCTAAACCCTGAACCCTAAACCTGGCCCCTTCGGGCCTCCGGTTTAAGTCGCCAGCCATGGCGCACCTTACCACGCGTTCGGTTGACCCGGGTGCCCTTCGGGGTACTATCGGGTCAGCTCTTACTTCAGCGTTTGATTGGGCCATCAAGAGCGGGGTCCATGCCTTTGGGTTTACTGGCGGTGCATTACTGTCAGCAACCTGGCGTGCGTTCCGCGTTGCCTTGGGTGCCCTTTTCGATCGGGGTAAGGTATTGCTCTCAGATCCCAAGACCAGGAGAATTTTGTTTCGGACGGTTATGGGGGTGGTTTTGACCTTCTTGGTGAAAGACTTTCCTGAGGGGGTTTTGTGCGGGGATGGGCGGCATTCCTTGGCGCCCGCGTGACATTGGCATCAAACTTGCACGCTACTTGACGGGTTCTTATCCGCTGTTGCCGGCAGGCCATCCCAATGTCATCACTAACCCTGATGCGACGGTCACTGTTCCAACTGTCAACGGGAGACGCACAGCAGTGGTGCAGCCTGACACGGCTCAATCCACGCTTACTGACCCTATGGGAAACCGGACAGTCATCAATTACAAGATCATTCCCCAGTCACCAACCGACCCTATTGCTGAGAGGAGGGATGAACTCATTTCGCAACAATGCGGAATGTGGAACACCTGCGGTGCTCACTTGCAGAGTACTGCCACCAGGTTCACTGACCAAATGCACGCGAAGCCTTTGGATTCAAGCATTTTCCTCACTGTCGACACCGGTGACACCGACGTCTTCGGGGGCAATGCGGCACTTGTTTCTGTTGGCCCTAACAAGTTGTTTGTCACTGCTGCTCACTGCACGCAGAACGAGTACATGATAAACACAACGCCTAGTGGTGCGCGTGCCATCCTGAGGGTTCCCGCTGAGGAAAGTTCGACCTTTGGATACGCCGACGTGTTTGTCCAGCGAGTCGATACAGCAGCATTTTGTAATTCCATCTCCACTACATGCCCAGCAGTTGGGTATATGCGATCATTCTACGTTGGAGAGAACGGCGAGATGTGTTACAAAATCCTCAAGGGTGAGATGTACTGGAGCCAGGCAATCGCAGCCGGGACGTGCTTGCATAGCATATCCAACCGCGATGGCGACAGCGGATCTGCCATCTACGACAGTCCAGATGCAGACGCTCGAGTCACGTGGGTGGTAATCAGCTGCCCGGCGAGAAAGCCCTGGGGGTGTTTGTCCAAGCAAGTTACGTATTGGAAGCCTCTGTCAGACTGAACAACAAGAGGACGAGAGAAATGGCACCTTCCTGGATCAAGAACATCCATCATGCCCTAGTTGCCGGGTATTCAACCGAAGAGGTCCTTGCTAACTACGGTATGAACCAACACACGCGCAGGTGGGGATTGCGCCCTCAGGGGCGCGGGAACTACAAGCGCACTGGTGCTATTCTCGTTGACGACAACAGAACAGGAGGCAGTGGAGCGACGTGGCGCAGAGAACCAAAAGAAAATCGAGATGTATCGGACAGTTTTGCCTCTTCTTCCAAGGAAGCAAGCCATCAAAAGTTCCGCTCCGTCTTCTCAGCAACCGCCTATGCACAGAACATTGAGACCGGGTTGAGGCAAGCGCTCCAGCGCTTGTACCCCACCATCTCCCAGGAGAAAGTAGACAAAGACATCACTGTTTTGCGGGAGATGTACGACCTTGCGCATGACGGCAACACGTATTTCTGGTCTGACAAGTGCAAGAGATCAGTGCGACTTGATGAGATTATGACAGCAGCTGCTTTTCGTGAAATGTTCTACTGATAGTGATGTATTGGCTTTAACGAGGAGGGAAATAGCATGCAGAACGGCAGGTCCGGTAGTGGACCCCCTTTTTCCGACACAGACGTCTCATCGACATCACCCTGCCTTGCGGTTCGGCCAGCTATGCGGGAGCGAAAAAAAAACCCTAAACCCTAAACCCTAAACCCTAAACCCTAAATCTTAACGAATCCGAGACAGTGAACATCTCACCCTTAGCATCCCTGGCTCGAAGTGGCTGCCTGGGCCCTGCACTCGAAAAGGGGCACAAAGGGCGCCCAAAAAGAAACTCCGATCCCAGGGGCAGTTTGGGGTTTATAGGGTCCAGGGTTTAGGGTTTAGGGTTTAGGGGGGCGGTTTGGGGTGTCCCAGAAACCGGTAAACCCATACACCCAAAAACCCATCAACCCCTACTAAGCCCATAAACCCCCTACCAAGCCCTAGCCCCTAAACCCTTCGGGCGAAAGTGAGCCTCCAAAGCCTTTAGCGTCGAGTGGCCACTCAGCGACTCAAACAGACACCTGAGCAGTTGCCCACAAACTTACAGTGACCCAGAGCTAGCTTGAGGCTTGAGGGTTTTGGGGTTTCAGGTTTAGGGCTTTAGGGCTTTAGGGCGGGGATTTGGGACTCAGGGTTTTCGCGCTTCTGGGGGATCCTGGAGTCCCAGGCTCGAAGCGCAAGTTGACGTCACCATGGCCTGTGGACGCCAGATCTCTGAGTGGCGCCTTTGCCGGAATGCTTTCGGGTGCAGGGCTTAGGCTTTTGAGGGTTGAGGGTTTGGAGTTGAAATCCGAGGGGCGGGAAGATGCGGCTCTGTAACAGCCGGGCACGTCAGAGAGCCCTGCGAGAAGGCAATGTGTGCTCATCATGCTGTAAGACTGTGCTGTCCTCTCGGTTGTCTAGAAACCTACTTGAAGGTTCATGGGTAGTTGTAAGTAGGGTTACGAGTACCCTAAATAAGTTATAAGGTGATCACCAATCATAAGTTATATGCATATAGTTCCCCTCCTTATAACCCCACTTCTAACTACCCACGAACCTCCAAGTCTTGCCCCAAAGCAGAGGCAAAGCCCCGAAGACACCGGCAGAGTACTGGGGCAGTTGCAAGAGCGACCTAGGCTGAGCAAAGGCGGAAGTGTGGCTGCGCCCCGCCACCTGGCCCTAAACCCCGACACCCCGAAATCCCGAAACCCCTAAACCCCTCAACCCCTAAACCCCTAAACCCCTAAACCCAAAACCCAAATTTGAGGTTGCAAGGGTGGCATCCCAAACTGGCCCTCGAAGGGCTCAGGGCTTGATTTTTGGGGGGCTTGCTCGGACCCAGAGTAGGCCCTGATTCGCGAACTTCAGCTTAGGTTCCTTTTGGCAGCCCTTAAGGGTTTAGGGTGACAAAAGGGTACCCGTTTTATTTCTTGGGTCTAGCTTATGACGATAGACGCCCGAATTGCAACTCCCAGCGCAGGAGTGTCATGAGGGCTATGAGTGCCAAAGAACTAACCCCGAAGCCTAAAGAAATAAACCTGGTGCAACAGTTTGACCAGTCTTCACTTCTTCGGTTTAAGAGCCTGTTTTGTTTCAAAACCGGGCCCGCGTCGAAGCGCACGAGCGTCTACAGACAAAGCCTAGCCTCACAGCCCGTTGCTCGACGTCCTTCATCTCTTGGTCAGAATCTGACATCGTGAAGATTGCTGAAACCATAAACCCTAAAACCCTATAACCCTAAACCGTGAAGCAATGGCTGAAGCCATTCATGGCTTTGGAAGAAGGGCTGACAGTTTATTGAGGACATCCCTGCGATGCGGACTCGCCCCAGCTGTGCAGGAGGAAAGAAAGCCCTTAACCCTATAAACCCTTTAAAGCCTAACTTACCCTAGACCCGATCTTACAACCCCAACTTTCTTCGACGTAGGCCCCTAAACCGTAAAACCCTAAACCCTACAAAGCCTAGAATTTCCATAAACCCTGAAGAGCGCGGGCAAGCGGGTGGCAAAATCAAACCCCAAAACCGCAAAACCCCCAACCCTCAAACCCGAAAACCCTAAAGCACCCTAAACCGTAAACCCTAAAACCCTAAACCTTGACCCTATAAATATAAACCCCAAACCCTACAAAACCCTAAAACCCTAAAAACCCTAAACCAAAATATCAAAAAAAAAACGTAAACACCCTACTTGCCCTAAAGCCCTCAAACGCCAGCCTTCTTCAAAAAACCAAACAACCCCAAAAGCCCTAAACACCCGCAAACCCTCAAGCCCCAACCCTCTTCTTGTGACCCTAAACCCTAGACCCTAAACCCTAAAACCCTAAAACCCTAAACCCTAAACCGTAACCCTAAACCCTAAACCCTAAACCCTAAACCCTAAACCCTAAACCCAAACACCCTACGCCGAACCTAAGGCCGCCTGGAGGAAGTGGGCGAGCGCGGGGTCTGGCAAGTGAGCGCCGACTCCGAGGCTCCTGGGTAGGGTTTAGGGTTTAGGGTTTTGTGTTTTGGGTTTGGGGTTTGGGGTTTTGGGGTTTTGGGGTTTAGGGTCTAGGGTTTAGGGTTCAGGGTTTAGGGTTCAGGGTTTAGGGGTTGTTACTATAAAGGGGGAACACCCCAAGTTCGAGGGGTTTAGTTTCGGGTTTCTTCGTGGTCTTGTTCGGGGTTTGATAGGGTTTTATTTGGTTTTAATAAGGGTTTGATAGTTTTTATGGCTTTAATAGGTTTTATTAGGGGTTTGGTAGGGTTTTCATAGGTTTTTTCACCTATGCCTTTCTGTGCTTCTGATGGCCCGGCAGCTCCCCGAACGCCATCATTCACATAGCGCCTGTGGCCCAAGGAATCGGACGCCTACATCGTCAAGAGCTCCTCTGGCTTCCTTCTGCTGACAGATGGCTCTACGCTGATCAGCGCCGAGGCTGATGAGCTCTTGAGCGTCAGATGGCTATAAGTGGGTCTTGTAAGTAGGGTAACTATACTTACAACGGGTTATAACCTTATGTAGGGTACTTGTAACCCTGCTGATAACTGTCCATGAACCTCCAAGCAACGGACTGCTGGGTCGCAGAGGGAAAGATCTTCTTGAGGGGAAGTGGGGGTTGTCTGATCGAACCACCCACACTGGCTCAGAAAACCTCGTGCAGTTTCTCAGCCGTGCCAGTCAGGCTTAGTGCTTCTTGGGGTTTAGGGTTTAGGGTTTAGGGTGTAGGGTTTAGGGTTTAGGGTTTCGGCGTGCAGGATCCTTATCGGGATCCCGCGGAAGTCTTCTGGACGCGAGCTCCCGACGAAGCTGCTGAGACAGCTGACAGCAGCTTCTGGCTGTGCGGGCGTGATGCCGCGCAGTTACCTGGCAAATATACGGGTCGGAAGAGTTACGTATGGTCCCTTTTGATAAGTATACCATAATGACCCCAAAAGCCCTATTCTAATTATTCAGGCCGCTATTATTAGCATGGATGGATTGCTGGATGCACTCTGCCAAGCATCCCGCCTCACGCCAAACGTCACCCCACTTCAACACCTCCCCGTACCCGAGGCGCTTGCATGCCCGGCGGTGCACAGGATGTGCCTCCTTCGATCCTCCAGGGCCCTGGAGGCTTGCAGGGTTTAGGGTTTGGGGGTTTAGGGCTTAGGGTTTGGGGTTTAGGGTTTAGGGCTTAGGGCTTAGGGCTTAGGGTTTAGGGTTTGGGGTTTAGGGTTTAGGGCTCTTGCTTCAGTATATCTGGTTGTGCTGCATTGTGCAGGGACCTTACGGGTATACCTCTAATATATCACAGGCTATTTAGGCCGGGCTGCGATGTCGGCTTGCTGGTGGCCCGGCCATAAACAACTAGGCAGGCCCTTGGGATTTGAGTATTTTCGGAATGAATTCTGTGCCTTAATGATTGGGTTTAGCAGGATCCTAGTTTGGAATGTTTTTCCGAGGATCGTAAATTCAGAACCAATCGAGAAAACTCACAGATGCGAAGGCACGCGCTTCCCGTGCACCGCCTGACAGAGGAGGAGAGGATCCTGCCATGCCTCAGGGTTTAGGGTTTAGGGTTTAGGGTTTAGGGTTTAGGGTTTAGGGTGGCTTCTAACAAAGGGTGGCTTATAAGGCTTAGTGTTCTCTTTGCATCTTCCGCGCAAAATGTACCCTTCCCACCGTGTAGGGTTCAGGGTTTTAGGGGCCCTATAGACCCTTAAACCCTAGAAGCCCCACTCATTCAGCGCCTTGCACTGGACCCTGAGGTTCTTACGCCTTGAGAAATCGCGGGGTCAGGGGGCTCAAAGTTCCTTGGCAGTCTGTCAAAAAGAGCATCCGCAAGCCTATACCCAACCCACGTCTGAAGCATTACATCCTCATCATGCCTGTAGAGTTCTTTCTATCTTAGGGTTAAAGATCAAAGTTAAGGCTTATAGGGTTTAAGTTTAGGGGGCTACAAAAAGTGCGAGAGTGCAAATCCTCAACTCTCGCGTTGCCAGGATGGCCCCGTCCTATGGTACCCGGGCTCCTTCGCGCCCTTCCATCTGGGCCATCTCAACTGCCTGCCTCTTGCCGACATCCTTGTAGCCTTTTTGGTTTCGTTTCTGTTTGCCAGGCTGCCCTGATCCCTTTACAATCCCTAGGAAAGCCCTTTGTGTAGGGTTCGTTGCGTGGGTTGTACGGCCCAATACTCCTGGAAGCTGCTTCGGGCTTGAGGAAGAGTCGAGTCAGGGGTGAGGGTATCTAGAATCTAGGGTTCCTTCGACCCTCGCGCAACCTCACGCGCATACGGCCGAGTGAGCACCTGAGGGAGTTGGCAGAGGTTTTGCCGGAGGGTTCCCTAAACCCTAAACCCTAAACCCTAAAGGACTAAACCCTGGTCCCCTCTCCTTGTTTGCAGCCTTAAGTCAGGTCGATGCTCCTTTTGGGCACGGTGCCTTTTTTTCATTGTGGATTGTCGACTCCTTGTTGTGAAGTGCTGGTTGTTTTCATTGGAGCACCTTTTCATAGCAGTTGATGTTTCCCCTTGTGCTGCTAACAGTCCTGAATGGGGGTTATAGTGGGGGGGGTACTATAATCCCGATTCGGGACTGTTAGTATAAGGGGGGAAATCCCAAGTTTGGCAGCTATCCTGTGGGTCCTACAGTCCTCTTTCATGAGCTGCTGCCCAGCAGGCGAGCTGCGCGGCACGAGCTGCAGAAGCAGGGTATCAAAGTGTCAGGCGCCTGCACCTTGTTTGCCTTCAGTTGCAACATGGGTATTTCCAGAAATAGAGGGGTTCCACGGTACCCTGAATGTGTCCCAAAGTAGTACAATCCTTATTGTAGGAACTCCAACAGGGTACCCTTATCTTCGGAACCCCCCCCCCCCCCCCATATGCTCGTTAGTTTCTGTCACCTGCACTGCTGGGGATGCCCCTGCCATGAGTTTTGCCCCCGAAAAGCCAGGGGGGGCTGAAGGTCGATCGGCGCCACACAAGGGAGGAATTGTTGAAAACCCTACACTCTGAGCTGTTCCCCCTGATACTAACAGTCCTCAATAGGGATTCTGGTACCCCCTATTATAATCCCTGTTACATAGCTGTTAGTCCACGGGGGAAGATCTCAACCCAAAACCCTACACCCCACGTGATGGCAGGTGCCTACGCCAAGCCACAGCTGCCCAAGAGCTTGGGCTACAAGACGCTCGATTGTCAGCATGGGCCTATAGGACCTAGAGTAGGCCCTTACTTCCTTTTCGGCTTGGGTTCTCTGATCAACCCCTTTAAACCAAAAAGGGCACCCTTTTTGATTCCTAGGTTACTCCTGGGTCTAGGGCCTGGCGAAAGCTGTGAGAGGGGTTTAGAGTTTAGGGATCGGAAGTCATAGGCGTTTCGGGTTTAGAGATAGGCCTCAGACAGCCCGGATTCAAAAGGGATAGGAGTCATAAGCTTTTCGGGTTTAGGGGTAGTGTTATTCGGACTCCTTGGTTCAGAGTTCGGCTCCCCAATCCAGCAATCCCCACCTTGGGAAGGTTCATGGGATGGTATCTGGCCGAGATCGGGTCGAAATAGGGGTTTCCAGCTGTAGCTGGCCCAGATAGGGAGCTTGGGGCCAGATGGGGACATATAGGGACAGGGGTTTCCGCCCAATCAGGCCCAGCTAGGGCCGTTCTGAGGTTGCTTCTAGCCTTTAACCTGTTACGGCTCATGACGGCTGTATCTGGGTAGGGCCGACATCTGGGTTTCCTAGATGGGGTTGCCTTATGTCTTTTTCGGGGCTTCCACAAAACCTTCGGCCCTTAAGCGAACAACCACACAGGACTTTTTCTGGGCGAGGGTCTCAAATGAATTTTTGTGGGCCGACCAGAGTATCATTTCTTGTTTATCAACACATTCTTATCACAAGGCTCAGCCGTACCCTGAAGCCCTAAACCCTAAACCCTACACCCTAAACCCTAAACCCTAAACCCTAAACCCGAAAATATCCCAAGCAGGAACCTGGACAAACAGGGCTCCTCAGTCTTCGCCTCGGGCGCCGTGCGCCTGCGGCTTCTGGAGCTGATCGTGGCTCAGGAGGATCCCAGGGATTGAGGTAGGGCCTGGGGTTTGGGGTTTAGGGTTTAGGGTTAGGGTTTGGGGTTTAGGGTTTAGGGTTTAGGGCTGCTTGGGGATTCGGGCAAAAGAGAGAGGGCATAAGGGTGAGGCAGGCAGTGCTGAGGAGACCTGATGCAAGGGGATTGAGGCTATACGCCAAGCACCCCAGTGACTCGACGCAACCCGTGCTTGTAGGTCCAAGGGTTTTTTTGGGGCATGTCGCCATTTCTTGGGGGGCTTTGAAGCGTTTATGGAGGTTGTGAGTGTTACGAGTTCGTGCCAGTTTTTGGGGTAGCTCAGGGCTGGGTCACAAGACCAGAAGACTCCTCTGCTGGTAGCGCGGTTAAGCCCCATTTTCCGAAGGACTGGGTCATGCCCGACCCCCATGGCATCCTGCGCGGGGGCGGGAACAACTTCGTGGACCTGCGGTCCTTCCGCCCTTGGGGCAGAAGTTGGCTTGACTGAGGGGTGGGACTTAGCAGACATAAGTTCTGGAGGCTCCGGTTTTAAAGGCAAGCACATGTTTGTGTGCCCGGGGCCATATGGTTCATGAAGGCAAAACGTCTTTTTTCGTCCATCCGGATCCCATCTTGCCTGACGCCTTACACCGAAAGCACTGGCTGAAGGGACCATTTCGGAGATAGATCTGTTGCTTTCCGTACCACTTGCCTGTGGAAACCTACCATAGGGGTCAGAATGGTTGCCACCAGTATTCCCTTATGGTCCAACAAAATTAAAACCATAATTACCCCCCCCCCCCCGCCTCCAATACCCTATTCTACACTTACTTAAGGCCCCTATATCACATAGCAGCCATGTTCTTTCTGGCAGATAGCGGTCCCATCCCAAAGCCGGTGGCCAAGAACAACACTTGGGTCCCACCGTAACGAGCATCTCCGTTGTTGTGGGCCCTTCCGTTAGGCCGCTGGCTCAACCCTAAACCCTTAGCCCCAAGCCCCAAGCCCTAAACCCCAAGCAAGTAACCAGGGTTTCGTTGCAGACCAGGTGCCAACTTACAGGCTTCACTTGCGCGGCTGGGAGGCCCTTAGGGCATTCGGGTGCTTGCGATGCTTCCCCTATGGATTCCTCAAAAGGTCACTTCTCTGAAATATGGTCTCTTTTGGAGGCCTTGTGACAAGGTGGCACCTTTTGGAGTCCTTCTTACAAGGTGGCTCCTGAGGGGACCATAATTTCGAGAAATTACCAAAAGCGGCCTATACCGGTATGCAAAGGCCGTGCAAGCAGTGTTCTGCAGAATGTTGTTGGTTGGTCTAGCTGAGTATCCTCAACCTCTGTGCAAGTGTGGTTCGCGCCTTGCTTAGCCGGTTCATGAACATAGTCCCCAAGCCCTAGATGCCTTCAGCATTGAGTTGGGTGGTTTGGACAGCCGAGGCCTATTATTGCATTCCGTTCCCTCCGAGCGAGGGTTTTGGAAGGTTTCAAGCGGCTGCTTAGGGTTTCGGGTCCAGGACAAATTTTCAAGATTCGTTGTACACGGCTGACAGTTACGTCTGAACTGCCTGCGCATGATTGTTGGGCAAACCGCATCTATTCATTTCCCAACCCTAAACCCTGAACCCTAAATCCTAAACCCTACTCTCGTTTGAGCAGTTGGCATGTGCATGCAGTGGCTGCAGGAGGTCGCGCTGACTGGGCGTCCTCGGTCGAGATCATTTGGGTGATCGGGGATGATGCCTTTCCCCACCTGAAAGACAAACTTCTAAGCGGGTCAGGAGCTGAGTTGCACTGGGGGCTTCTTATCGTGCTAGCGGCGTTTGCAGCGACGAGCCCAGGGCCAATTGGAACATGTCGTAAAAATGTACGTGGGGAACCATCGGGGGAGGGCACGAAGACAAAAGTTGATTCATGTCGGGTACAAGACATAGCAGTGACATTCGACATCCGGAAATTCTTATCAGTGATTCAGCGCGCAGGCAGCATGCGCCCAAGGAAGATGCCCTCAAGCAGGCGGGGCTCGAGGGTTTGGGGCGCAAAGATTATCTGCAGGCACGGTGGGACGACAAGCGCTGGGATATACAGGCGCTCGAACTCGCCCTTCTACCCTTCGGACTCCTGATGTCGAAAATCAAAGCGTATACGGCTGCTCCGGTTGAGGAATTGTGGCTTTCGCCTTGCGAAAGCAACCAGCTGTAAATCCCTCAACTGTCAACCCAGAAGCCCCAAAGTCGTAAACCCTGCATGCATGATGACTTCATCCCCAAAACTCTAAGCCCTAAACGACTGGACTAAAACCCTAAAGGGCTCGAATCCCCCAAACACAGGTGGGCCCCTTCCGGCTCGCTGGCCGCATCAACTGTAGCTCGAGGGTCCGAGACTTCAATCGGGGTTTTGATTTTGGGCCTTCTTGGGTTTGGGATTCATAAGGCAGAGGTAATCCCATAGATACATATATATATACAGATGTATACATATATATACATATGTATATATATATATGTACATATATATATATATACATATATGTACATAGAAGCATACAGTAGACATTATGCATTCTACAAATATTATGTACCACATAGATGTACGGTGTTGTTTGCATATTAGATGCGTGTTGGGGTGAGTCTAGTTGGCCGCATGACCTGCGCCAATTGAGCTTGATGCAAAACTCTCCAAGCTCTTCCCTAAACCCTAAACCCTAAACCTTAAACAGACTCCCAGACTCCCAGACCTTGTGGGCGGGTTCTATGGGCACAGGAAATGGCTTCTAAGCAGCCGGGCTCAAGTAGTATTTGAGGGTGCAGGATGTAGAACGAGTAGCCTGAATGGAGTAGGGTTTAGGGTTTTGGGTTTAATGTTGCACCCGTTTTAGTGAGTGGGGGCACTGTTATGCGTTTTCTGGAAATCTTATAGGGGACCCGCCCCTTTGATGAGGGTGGTCCTCAATTATGCGATGTTGCCGGGCCGGGGATGAAAGGCGGGGGGGCGGGGAGCCAAAAACAAAGAAAGATGCACAAGAAACTCCGAAATTTGTTGGTGTCCAGCTTTTTGTAAATTCCTTTTAAAAGTTCATTACGAAACAGCCCCCCAAACACAATTTTCCAAGGGAGTAACCCACGAGCTGCCCCCCTGGCCAGGGAGCTACAAAGCCTGGAAAGCTTAGACCCTCAAGCTTCAAGGCTTCCCCTCGACCCTCGACCCCCAGCCGCCCTACCGCCAGCCCCCGTCCCAGACCCCAGCCCACATTATTCAGGATCCCCGAGAACCCCACAATTGTTTGGGGCGGGGGGGGGGGGGGGCCCTGCACACTAAAGCGAGTCCAACATCAGGGTTTAGGGTTGGTAGTTTCTGACGTGCTGCAAGACGCTGTCGGTCAAGCCCCCCCTCAGCCACCCGAGTGCTGGAGGATGTGCGTAGTGCACAACCGACCATCACAGTGGACACTCGGCTGCAGCACAAGGAGGGGCCCCCTTACTATACTAACTGCAGTGAAGGGACTTATTACCTAATTTAGGATCCTTATAACCCAATTTAAGGTACCAGTAACTCTACTTATATTACCTAATTTAGGATCCTTATAACCCAATTTAGGGTTCCTATAACTCTACTTCTAACTAGGGGGGGCCCTCCTTGTAGAGGACGGAGCCCCAAGGCCGCATGCAAAAGTCCCCCAGCCCGAGCCCTAGAGCCGCCTAAAGTCCCTAAAGCCAAGAAGGGTTTAGGATTTAGGAGTTTAGGGGGTTTTTAGGGGTTTTTAGGGGTTTAGGGGGTTTAGGGGGTTTAGGGGGTTTAGGGGTTTAGGGGGTTTAGGGGTTTAGGGGTTTAGGGGGTTTAGGGGGCTTTAGGGGGTTTAGGGGGTTTAGGGGGTTTAGTTGGATGAGGACGGCCCTGGGACCGGGCTGTGAAGATCTGCCCTTCCCCGTGGTCGAAGTGACAGCGCCACCTGAGTTTTCGGCGGACGCATGGTGGTTTGCAAGCCTGTTTGTGAGAGCTCAGACACACTGTAGCTCACGGTTCGAGAGGGTTCTTTCTGGAGGAAGTTAGGGCTTGAGTTGTTGTGGGTCAGCATTTGCTTGCTGGGCTGGTTGTGCAAAGCTGAGCGGATTCGACGGCAACGCCATCTCGTTGGGTGCTTCCTCTTTTGGGCTTGGCTCTCTTGGCTGAGTTTCCATGAGTGTCCGAGGACCTCAGTGCCACGGCCGTGCGGGAGCGGTGGCAGCATGGGGCGGGCCAGGATCGAAACGGCATGCGACAAGAGCGTCTTAAATTGAGCCGTAAAGGGCTTAGTCTTGAGGTGTGGGCGCAAGGCGCGCCCTTTTCGGATGTCAGAAGCAAAGAAAGCTTCTTTGGTTGACATCTCCATGCACAGAATCCCCCGAGCGTCTCTACATACTCCCGGATACCATTCCTCCGTTCCCAAGCAAGCGCCAGAGGAATGAGTCCCCTGTCATTTCTTCTTCAGGAGGAGTTGGCGCAGCTGCTGGGGAGCTTCCCGCCACGATTCGTCTCTGTTCGGGGTTTTGGGCCAAGGGGTCATGCAATCTTGGGCGGCCTTGAAAACTTGACGTCAGTTTGGACGCAGGGTAGGCCCGTCTTCCCTTTTTTCACGGTAGAGGTTCCCTTATACGCCCCTTTAGACCAAAAAGGGTACCCTTTTTATTCCTAGGTTACTCTTGGGTCTAGTACTCCCTAAACCCTAAACCGCAGAAGCAACCTCGCAAGTATCCAAATACCAAGAGCGAGGCTTTGACTGAGCCAATGACGGACTAGGGTGGAGGGTTTGCTTGAGGAGTTGATGCAGAAACGTGGTGAGAGATGTTTCGTATCATCATTTAATTTATTAAGCATATCTCGCAAAGTGCATGCCATCAGTGGACGCAGTGGCCCTGGTGAAGCCTCTGCCGGTGAGTCGTTTCCAGGCGTGAGTACCAGCTCATGGTTCAATAGGGCACACGTCACGAACCGTGTTTTCACAGGCAAAAGTGATCGATGATACGAATTGATGGCCGGTTGCTCGGAGCACAGCCGGGTTCTCAAACACCGCGTTTATGAGACATATGCTACACGCCTTACTTTGGAAACCAACAAGCCGACTACGTACCCTGGCCCGGCCCTAAATCCCTACACCCCGCACTCCAAGCCTCATCGCACCCTTCAGCCCACCAACATCGTGGCCCAAGGCCAGGAAGCAGCAGACTACATGGTAAGTCTGCGGCAGCCGTCGGCAGATGGCGAAAATCGACCTAGCTTCGGGTTTACCCGGAATGCTTGGGAAGTTCATCCCTGAAGCCGCCCAAGGGATTTCTTGGGACCTGCGGCTGAGGTTGAGCCCAGGTTTAGGGTTTAGGGTTTAGGGTTTAGGGTTTAGGGTACGGGGGGCAACCGAAGGAGGACAGGGAACAAAACAGTCAACCCCAACAGAAGCCCTTGATCCCCTGGACCAACCAACACCAAACCAAACCCAAAAGACCAAGCACCCTTTTCTCACTAAGTGCACTGTCATCTTGAGCCAAAAATTTCCGGGTACATTGACCCCTTCAACTCCCATCACCAACTCCTTTCTACACTACCAGTTGCAGCTCCGCACTCCCCCTGTCCTAGGATTTCCTAGGACACATTGGAGGTGCAGTTCTTTGGCCAAAAACCGCCATTTAGGCAGCAGCCAGCTGCTTGAAATGCACATTATGGTTTTACGTCATCCAGGACGAACCTTCAGCTCATTGGCCGAATCCTTTACCATTGAGGATTTTATCACCTCGCACTTGAAAAATTCACGTTCCAGCGGCCCGTTCCTCACCAAGGAACTCGGCATTCACCACCCAGCCGTCCTTGAGGCAATGCTTACAAAGCGTCTTAGCCCTGGGCTGTGAATATCGCAGAACATCACAGTCACTGCTTGCGTGCATACAGTTCCCACCCACTGTTGTATACAAAGTGGCACTCGCAGGAATAACCACCGCTTTCTTGATCCACAGCCATTTATACAGCTGCCGAAAGAGGCACCATGCCAATTCCCAGAGTATAATTGCTGCCACCAAATACGCAACAAGGTCTGAATTGTTGATAACCATTTCAATACCTTGAGCCAGAACCATCACCGTAGATGTGTTGGCGACCTTGCACACCCCTTCTTCCGAGCAAAAGAAACCAGCAGTTGACACTTCTTCGCCACCAGTTGCCATCCCTTGCAGAGATGCAGCCACCATCATGACCGCCATTGCAAGCGAGGCCCTCTTCAAGTCAGTCCCTTGTACCAACAGTCGGAGACCCCAAAGTGCCTTTTGCTTTGCATACACCTGTCCACTCATCAACTTGGTCAACAGGTCAGCGATCATATACTCACCGCGAAGATGCGCTATCACCATATAACCACGGTCCACAAGAGACCTGACACCGGCTGCTCGAAGTCTCAGGTGTCTTGTCCTCCAGCTTCCAGCAGGATATTGAATGATCGAGCACGTTGAAACCGAATCTGTATACAGCACTTTTTGCAGCCATTCTTCACCTGTTCCAACCAAAGCGGCAATTATAGGGGTGCACGACTGAATCATCGTTGCTCCCTCTATGGACGCATATAATTCAGCTTCAGCTGTACTTAAAGCCACCGTTGATTGTCTCTGTGTTGCCCACATCACTGGACAGTCACCCCACACCACCATCGCTCCTGAGTGGCTCTTTTCATTTTCACCTGCTGCAAAGCTGGCGTCCGCGTAGGACTCCACCACCTTGACGCCTCGTCCATAACGCAACACCTCATTCCTTTCTTTTTCGCATGTTGCGATTGCTCCGAACGTCAGGCCTAACGTTGGAGTTGCAGCAAGGTATCGAAAAACCTCCTCAGCCTTTTTAACCACAAATCGCGGCCTTCGGGATGTCCACAAAGACAACTGGCTCGTGCAGAACGCCAAATCAGGTCGAGTTTTGATTGCCACCCAGAGGAACTCCCCTACGGCACCTTGAGCCGCTCGCAAGGAAGGAATATCTACCTCCTCTTCTTCACCTGGAGTTTCTTTCACCATTGGCAGGTTACTCCCTTTTCCAGTTTCATCGATCTGATACCCTCGTCGGTTCAGCAAATCTCTCACGAAGTCCTCCTGGTTGAGAAAGAAGCTGCCATTTCGATACCAGATTTGGACACCCAAAAACTTCAGGAATCCATCACCACAGCCTGGACCACAGAACTCGGGTTCAGAAGTTTTCCACTCCTTCCTGATCTGTTCCAAGGCTTCCCGGAGCACTGTCATAGTCCCAGCCATCAAAAAATCATCCACGTAAAGACCCATTGTCCCTACCAACTTGCTTGCACCTTCCGGCTTTTCTTGTGCCATAATAAGGAACAGACTTGGGTCTGCATTGGACCTCTGAAAGCTCATTGCTTGTCCATCCTTTGACACCCAAGACATACCTTGAAGACGTTGGTCTCGCCACTCCACCCATGCTGCAGGACTTTCGGCCAAACCGTACAAGGCCTTCCTCACAATCCACCGCTCCTCCTTTGTGCAAAGACCCAATTTCACCGCCGCCCTTGGGGGCTGCACCACCACCAGACGCCCTTCTCTTTGCGCCCTATTCATCGGCGCCGTCAGAAAAGCTTTGGAAATGTCTAAGCCAGCGATGATCCACACCATATATGCTGCGTGCCTCACCTGACACCTGAATGTAGTTGAATCTAAACCTGGAGCGTACAGCGAGTGACGACTGAGGGACCTCGGCCCTTCGTATTCTGTAGCTGCCGTTGACGAAATAAAATTTCCACATGCACAGATACGGGCACGTTGCCTCCCTGTCCCTTGCTTCCGAGTTTCCGAGTAAACACCACCAGACTGGGAACGTACTCAATCACCGGTGCATTAGGCTCTTCCGCCAATTTGTCCAGCTTTTCTTGAGTTGTTGGTTCTACCACCTCCAACTCTTTCACCAAAGACGTCACCTCGTCCGACAATGATTCCCTCCACTTTTCCAGCTCTTGCATGGCTTCTTGTGTAGGGATTGTTTTTGTTTGCAGGAACTCAACCTCCTCTGCTGCCTCAAGCGCGGTGTTTTCTTGTACCATTTGCTGAACTTGAGCTGCTTTGACCAAAAACTTCGAGAGCTGTTCCTCAGCCCTTTTTGCTTTAACCAGCCATTCTCTAGTCTCTGATCCTTTTTCCTCATTCGACTCATTGGCCGATCCATGGAACTCGTCCAAAATGCAACATTCCTGTTCAAAAAATTAGGCGTCGAATACTCAAATGCTCCTCTAGAGCCCATTGATGCGCTTCGAACACAGCGTAGTCGACTTCCTCTGCAAGGTCGTCCAGCGAGGTTTCTTTCAGCGTCATTTTTAACCATTTCCTTTTTTCACCTTCTTCAGCTTGTGGTTCCGGAAGAGGAAACTTACATTGGAGAAGAGAGCACCTATCCTTGTAGCTCAAACGCTCCATAAAAACAGGTGTGTACCCTGTCAAGGATACCCTGTTCCCTTTCCAAGGCATAGGACCATGCAGTTTTCTCGGAAAGAACGACATGAAGTTCCAGTGGATATCCACCAATTTTCCAGGTAAGACTTTCTTCCCATAGGATTGCTCCACCACTTCAGCTCCTTCCTCTAAAACCTTTTCATCCTCAACCCACAGCTGACCATCTTTATAGTCACCAAAGCCACACACATAATTGCAGCAATGCTTTTCATTGTGACTATCCCTATGCAATGACACCGGAGCATTGCACGAGATCTGAAGAGCAGAAAATTTGGCTTCAGGATTGTGGTGCCTCACGAATGATGCCAAATAACGACATAGCCATGGTCTCCGATGAGTCTCTTTTGTAATACCACACACTCCGCCATGAGTATAGTGGCCCAACACCAGAGCTCGCGTACTTGTACACCAATTGTTGATACCACCTCTTCGATTCACCCTCTTTGGGTATACAATCCCTTCCAAAAGCTCCTCGCAGTCCACGTAATCATACATAGACCTTTCATACATTGACTTGGCTTTTTGCTCTTCTTTTTCCAACTGTGTTCCATCCTCAGCAGTCTCACTTTTGCAGACAAAATAAGCATTTTCATGAGGAGAACAGCAAGTCGGCCAATACTCATCACCAGGAACATTGTCCTCAACATCTGCATTTTCTTCCAGCTCCCCCAGACCCTGCATGTCATCCTCGAAAATTTCTAAGGGCGGACTCTCCCCCCGCTTGCGAAGCAAGCGCAAGGAGCCCACATGACCACGCAGTGAAGAGGCCGGGCTTTTCTCCATCAACCGATGGCGAACTGGAGGATCGCGAGGCGGAGGTAAAGGAGGACCTTCCTCATCAGCGAACCGAAGCGCCGGTTTTTTCCCCTTGAGACGATGCTCTGGAGGAGAAGGCTCCTGTTCTTCTACCACCCCTTCCAGCTCCAATTCAGGCGGTTCCTTTATATTGGAAAAAATCGTAGTGCAGGGAAATAACACCAGTTCATCCGGATCTTTTGCAGTCCCTTGAGCTTCCACCCAATAACCACCAGGTAGGTCATCGCATGGACCCAAAAGAAGCGCGGGCTGCGTACGATCGACCCATTGCCGACCTTTCTTTGTTCCATCCGGACCCAGCAACTCCCACGGACGACGTTTGACTTGAATCTGAGCACCAAAGGGAAGCAATGCTTTAGGATTTAACCCCAACTCCCTTTCAGCTTTCTGCCACCGTAACATTGACCAATGGCGAGCAGCCAGTGCCCAGTACGCCGGCCCGAGTCGCGCCTCCTTTAAGAGCGACCTGACACCACGTTTGAATAAACCCACACATGCTTCAGCGCGCCCATTTGTTTGCGGGACTCCAGGATCACCAGTGGTCCTATATATCAGACGAGTTTCACAAAAGGACCGGAAGCGTGCATTGACAAACTCCCCCGCTCGATCTGAGTGGATTCTCAACACCGGATACCCATGTCTCTGCAAGCGCACCATCATTCTTTGAACTGCCGACAAAACAGTTGTTTGCTGTTTATCCACAATCGGCTCCACCATA